CTTTTAAAATGTTGTTCTCAGGCATTGTGTCAGGTGACAGCTGACCGACAGGCCTAACTGGAGAAGGGAAAGTCCAGACTAGGACCTGCTTTCATGGCCTCCTCTGACCTGTTTTCATTTTGTTTGCTTCTTAACGTGGCTGGCCCCTGCCTGGACCTCGGTGTCACTCAACATCTCCAAACCCCCTCACGTTTCTCCTCTTCCCATTTCCATGATCCTCTCAGCCTCATCTCCCCTAATTGCACAGATCCTTCCTTACCACGGAGGGTTTGGAATTCACCTTCAAATCTGGAACACATGGAATACGACACATGGAATACTTGATGTGGAATTCTGTCATTGCTTTTCTTCCTTATGCATATTTGGCTAAACTATCATAACTCTGAAATTTTTGACCCTTCAACACGTAAGGGAAAGTAGGATTCTAGCAAATATGTTTTTTTTTTAAGGTGTCATTTTTCTTTATTTTTAAGAGGAAAAGGGGGGATGGGGACAACAATAATTCTCAATACACAGTAGACAAGTTAGCACTGTACTGAAAAAAAAAAAAAAAAAGGCCATGTACTTGCCACCAGTCTGCACTGCAGCTTCATGATTAGTGAATTTAATGCTGTCTATCGTTTGTATCACTACTTAGCAAACTTACAATTGGCAAAATTAGGGATTATAAATCACCGTAAGTGTCTACAACTAAGTCAATAACCTACATATCCATAAAAATCATTTAAAAATAAACCATAAATATGTGATGCACATTAGTAAAAAATATGGAACGCTTCACGAATTTGCGTGTCCCCCTTGCGCAGGGGCCATGCTAATCTTCTCTGTATCGTTCCAATTTTAGTATATGTGCTGCCGAAGCGAGCACGCAAATATGTTTTAAATCATTAGGGTCAGGGTAAGTTCTCTGCAAAAGTGAAAGACAGTTTTTATAACTAGAGTGGTCAATTTGAATGGCCAGTTTGATTGGTTAATAGAAGCTGATGATTAAGAGGCTGACGGGTGTGTCTAGGAAGGATGGGCATGTGGGTCAGCCACCTGAAATGGAGACCCTCCCAAGAGGGGGCAGCGCCGTCCAATAGGATGATGGCTTGGATGGAGGAGCAGTTGGAAGAAAAAGGAGGCATCAGCAGAAGCAAGCTCCATTCTTCTTGAGTGGGTTCTTGATTGCTGCCGCCGTCATCTGAGGACATGGGACTCTGGCCTCTTCAGTCTTACAAAGCGGCTCTGCCCGTGATTCTCCAGAAGCCTTCGGTCCCAGACTAGAGCAGCACCGTTGATTCCGCTTGTTCTGGGGCCTCAGCCTCTTGGACTGAGCAGCTTCTGGTTCTCCCAGCTGTCCAGACTGCAGACGGCCACTGTGGACTGTCCAGCCTCTGGTCACATCATACATCCCCTTTTTATAAATAGACTTCCTACCGATTCTGTTCCTTAGAGAACCCTAATACAATAACCACCATGATTTTTAGAGTCTTGGAGAAGAGGCTCAGGTTCTGTGCTGGGGCCCAGGTTCTCCTGATCATTCCTGGCTGGCACCCTGATGCTCACCTGAGTTTTACTGGTCACTGAGCACCTTAAAACAGGTGTAGGGTAGGTTATTTATCTAGAAGGCAGCTTCTAATTTTAATAATTCCCTTGTAGAGGTGAGGAATGAGATACACATTTGGAACCAGGTGAGTAGAGATTGAAATCAACTGTAGACGCTATTATGGATTCTCCTCCACTGATGGGGTCCATCCCCCCCCCAAAGCCTTCATCAACTGAAAACAGCACAGGAAGAAGTACATTTGCACACCTCATATCTTCCCTCATCTTGTGGGAAAGGATAAGCCACCTGAGAAAATAAAGTCTGAAGTAATTAGTGAAGAAATGAAAGACAAAGTCAGAATTGTAGTTTAAGGGAGCGCCTGGTAGATCTTCCTAGTGAACCTGGAACAGAACAGTTAAAAAATGGCTCCTGTTCTTTATTGAAGGGGGAGCATCAAAGGCAGGGATACGGTTTCAGGGGTGGTCTTGCAGTCAGCCGGTTGATCGGCATCTCGGCAGGGTACACCCATCTCTGAGAGGCTGGTGTGTGTGGCTACAGCAGGCACCCATCTCCAGGGCTGTGTGGGACCTCGCAGAGCCAAAGAGGAGTCACGTGCATCTGGGCAGTCTGACCAGCTGGATGGCTGCTGGAAGTCCCCAGATACCTGATTCTCCTGTGCACTGGTCCACATGCAGTCCATGATGGCTCTCAACACCTAACCCTGAGCACACTCCAGGGACTGGGTGTGCCCTCCAGGATCAAGTGGCTGATGAGAGCATGGCTCATGTCCTGCCAGCGCTGTGAGACTTTGGACCACGTATGGCCTGGGAAAGGACCAGGTCATCTCCACACCTGAGGTCGGCCTCTTCAACAAGGTGCTGGGAAAACCGGAAATTCCTACGTAGCAGAACGAAACTGAACCCCTACCTCTTACCCTGCCCCAACTCAACTCAAAGTGGATGGAGGACCTCGGAATGAGACCAGAGACCCTGCACCTACTAGAAGAAAATGCAGGCCCCACTCCCCCTCAGGTTGGCTTAGGAGCCGACTTCCTCCACAAGACTCCTAAAGTGCAAGAAGGAAAACCAGGAATCAGTAAATGGGATGGTGTCAGCCAAAAAGCTCCTTGCAGCACAAGAGCAGTCAGGAAGGTGAGGAGAGCTGCAGAGTGGAGAAACCCTTTACACCCCGGACAGCGAGAGAGCCTCGTCTCCAGGACATGCATCCCCCTCCTTGGGCCTTGCCTGGGGGCTCTTCTGCTCCCTGTGGGTAGAGCTCTCTGGACTCCTCTCTTGGGCATCCGACTCTGTTGCTCTGAGCGTCTTCCTGGGGACCTCCTTTGCTGTTCCTGTAAGTCTTGGTGCCTGTTCTCTGTTGTCATTGTCTGGAGACATTGTCAACTGTCCCCTCTGAGTTTTGCTGTGGCCCACTGTTGTTCCGGAGCACTGTGACCTCCCCACGTGGGAGGGGCCGGCGGGAGGCGTTGGGTGGCCCAGCGGGTGTTYATGTGTGGGGAGAGCATCCCCATGGCGCAGGGGCTCTGCTACAGGGACCGCCCCTTTCCTTTCCTGTGGTCTCCCTGCCCTCCACTTTCTTCTGTGGTTGGAAAGCAGCATGGGACCCCCACCAGAGAGTTGAGGAGGTGCTAGTTCCATGCTCTTGGACTTCCCAGCCTCCAAAACCATGAGCCCAAACAAGCCCCTTTTCTCTGTGAATGACTCAGTCTCAGGTATTCTGTTACAGCCACAGAAAACAAGCCGAGATGCCAGTCCTGCTCCTGGCTGCCATTTTCCTAGCAGATCTTTTTCCGTCTCACCACTTTCGTGTGTGTGCCCTGAGGCCAAACAGAGTCTGTTGGACAGCACATTGTTGGACCTTCCCATCTTGTTTTATTTGTTGATTCTTTCAGTCGCTCTGTGTCTTTTGACTGGGAATCATGAGGCCTTTACACCCGAGACAACTCTCGACCGCTACTCACTTAGCATTGTCAGTTCCTTGCTGACTGAACTTTTCATTTCTGCCCCGCAACGTGGCGCCTCCCTTTGAGATTGGTTCTGTTTTCGCCACAGTGTGCCTGGTCCCTTCTCCTTGCCTTTTGTGCATCTGCCCTGGGTGCCGTCTTCGTGGTTGCTGAGGCTGACAGAAAACATCCTACATGTCATTTAAGCTGACAGCTTCCCTGGCGGATGGCTTTGGCAGCAGGCCCAAGGCCAATACAGCGGTGCCCTCTGGGGACAGGACAGTTTCTGGTCTGGAGCTGGGCAGCAGTGAACAGGTCTGCCCAAGCACGGCTCTGCCTCTTGAAGTGACCTCCTGGGTCTTGGCTCCTCCAGAGCCTCATGGGCTCCCATCTGAACCCCAAGGCTCTCACAGAGGCACACGTGTCCATGGCTGGCTGCAAGAGCATTGTTGTGGGGGACACCCGTGGGGACCTCCTGTTCTGCCACCTTGCTGACCCTTTTTTTTCCTTTAGCTCTTTTTATTGTGGTAAAAAACACACTACATAAAATTTACCATTAGTGACATTTAGTGCACTCCAGTGTGGTGCAGCTGCCTGGTTCTGGAACATTCCATCACCCAGAGGGAAGCCTTCWGCCCTCCCACCCCGGCAGCCTTCCTGTTCCCCGGCCCTTGGTCCCTGGAAGCCTCCAGCCTGCACTCCGAGGCCTCTCCACCTGGTACTGTTTCACAGGAACCGTGTACTCTGTGGCCATGGCCCTCAGCTGTCCAGCACAGGGTTTCTAGTGACCCTCCCGCACCTTCCGTCTGAGGACTCTTGAGGGTCTTTTCATCTGTCATGAAAAGTAACGTGCCTGGGTGGGGAAGGTCCTGTCGTCATGTGCTGGGTGGTGACCTGTGACAAGCCTGCCAAGAGGGCCACTTGAACATGGCTGCAGATGCCCCTGGGGGCTTCCTGCCACCAGGTCTGGTTCAAGGCACAGCACCCCTAAACAAGCCATTTGACTACAGTAGTTCATATCACTCCCAACACCTATTTGACCACTAGGTTGACAAAATAATTTTGATGAAAAATAGTTGATTAAAAATAAAACGTGGGGCTACGCTGTGGCTCAGCAGTAGACGCTCCCCTAGCACGTGTGAGGCCCTGGGTTCGATCCTCAGCACCTCATATACATAAATAAAATAAAGGTATCGTGCCCACTTACAACTTAAAAAATATTTTTAAAAAAGTGAATTCCTGGGTTTTAAGATTTAATAGTCTTTTTCTCCTGTTTAATACACCACACAATTGCAGTAAAGTATATCCACAGACAAGGAAGGGGCTGGGTGAGGTTCTTCCAAGAAATCTGAGCAGGTGAATGCGGGACAGAAATTCAATCTCCACGTGGACAGGTTACGCTCTACCTGCCGCCACCTTTCTGGCCCCGGAGTAAGACCACGTGCTGCTATGCTGGGGGCACAGGGGCGGGCCTGTGGCTCTCCTGGGGTCAGGAATCCATGTCACTGGGCTTTACTTCCTGCACTTGGGCTGCTGCTCTGCCGGCTTCTGCAGCTCCTGGGTGGTCCTCTTGACACTCGGTCCATTCCCGGAGGCTCCCAAGGTAGCTTCATTGAAAGGAAAAATGAGCACAAGGTTCCCTGCGTGGGGTCTGGGCTGCTCGGGGCGCTCCTGGTGTTGCAGGGATGTGACTGAATGGGGGACATGTAGGGGATGGGGACATGCAGGGGATGAGCGCCTTGCCTGGGGGTGCCTGCCCTGGAGCTGGGCTTGGTTCTGGGCGCCTCTCTGGTGGCCAGGAGGAGGTCCTTCGTCTCTCTCAGCTGTGGAGGGCRCGTGGGACAGGACAGGTCCTCACAGCCGTCCTTGGCAGGGCCGCTCTTACTGTGCATCCTGCCCATGAGTCGCAGGAGGGACTCGTAAGGAAGGTGACCGTGAGAACATGAGAACCGCTGAGCCCATGCTTGTCACTCCTGGAAAAGAGGAGGTTGGGGCTCCCAACACTCCCTCCCCTCGGCCCTCAGGCCATTGAAGCAAATCAGTTCGATGATGTCTGGATGAGTTTCCTCTTCACACATCTGTCGGGCAGTCTAAGGACAAGGTGGGGCTGTGGTTCACTTCCAAGAGCCACGTTTCAAGTTGTCATCAATCAAGATATCAAACCCGAAGAGCTCGAAGCAGTTGGCAGCGAAGGGGACTGATGGGACTGCGGCAAGGACGGTGAGGATAACCACATTGTTGATCTTCTGCCACAGAAGCAGGTCGTCCACATCCCCATTTCGAAGGTAGGAGAAGAACCTGCTGAGGGTCCACTTGCAACTGTGACCGACTACTTCCTTGATCTTCTCATAGGGGACTCCAGATTTAATGATGCTGCTGTTGGTCAAATGTGCATAGTAAATGCCGCAGTCTGGCTGGGCACAATTCGGAGCCACTTGTCAAAAGAAATGAACTTTATTTTTAGAACACACACACCAAACCACACAGCTCCTCAGGAAAACCCTCAGAGCCCAACTGCCACCACCGGCTTCCCACAAGCCTCTCAACCTCCCCCACTCCTCCTGCTCTTGAGGCTGATTGGCTGGGTCGCGTGG